AATTTGCTGTTTATGCCATGGCTGGCGGGCTCAATAAAGTCATGCTCCTCCATCCAGTCATCACTCAAAAACTTGGTCCTACATAATTTCACAAARTAAATCATACAGTGAGATATATAAACAAAAAACAAAAAACATCAAATAAACATCCAAGCTTTGGAAACAGCAATTCACACTCAAGAAATAGAGACAACTTATAACATTATAAAAGTTGTGAGCTGGATAGGTGTCCCCAATGAATACTGCTAGTATTTTCAAACAAAAATGTATTTTAAAAAGGCAGCAGGTTTGTTTTTACGTACATGTAATTCCTAACAGAATCAGGCAGAATAACAACACAACGTTGACCTTCACCAAGTGACTTTGCAGCTTGTAGAGCAGCACTCATTGCACTTCCACTAGATCCACCTGAAATRTGAMATTATTATCAGGTAACCTACTYGGTTGATTCACGATTKAAAATGAGCCATGACTTCATCAAACCCTTACCACACAACAGTCCTTCTTCTCTGATCAAYTTCCTGGACATTGCAAATGCTTCTTTGTCACCCACTTTGAGCCATTCATCCACAACAGAACGGTCAAGAACGGTAGGAACAAAGTCATAACCAATACCTTCAACCTACATATTTTAAAAAACCAATATCAAAATTTGCATTTATTCACAAAAATTATCAATAATGTTTATTATGAGAACAACTTTAAAATGAATATTATGTATGACATGAATATWATTCTACTGTTTGTGTCCTTACATGATAGGTGGTAACATCAGTTTCATTGAGATGGTCTGGTTCGGCAAGAATAGACCCAAATGGATCAACACCTACCACCTGATAACAAACAAACCAATATGTCAAGTAGTTATTATGGATCCCTTAAGATGGATTCATAAATACTAAAGAACATACCTTGACATTAGGACATTTAGTTTTCAATTTCCTGGCAATACCTGTGATAGTACCACCAGTACCAGCTCCTAGCACTACCATATCAACTTTACCTAGAAAGAAAACATTTCAATATCAACTATCAAAATTGTGCACAWTAATCAAATCTGTCTGATGTAATCATAAAAACAATAGGCAGGCACAATGCAAATTCTGGCAAAGATCAAGTTTGTAAAAATAAAWAGCTTGATTTAACTGTTGTCTCTTGTAAGTAAAAGGTCTCTGAATGGAAAGAATGAAAATTTGTACAAATATGTAACATATCTTACCATCACATTGCTGTAAAATTTCTTCAGCAGTAGAATCATAATGGGCCAGAGGGTTACCAGGGTTACGATACTGATCCAAAATATGYGAGTTTGGGATTTCACAATTCAGCTTTTGTGCAACTCCAATGTGAGATTCTGTTAAATCATGTTATAAAACTCATTAATATTCATAAGTCAAAACACAATAGAAATCATAGCCCATGAAGAGAGTTGTATATTACATACAGATTTCTTGTTCATTTGCATAAACTTTTACTCTGATTTTCTCAGTCAGATTGAATTTTTTTTCAAAAGTTTCTTTAAAACCTGAGCTAATTTACCTTAACGTTTCATAAGTAATATACAATATTCGCGTGCGATCTGTATGAGGATTTAAAACAGCTCGCTGTTTTAAATCCTCATACAGATCGCCCGCTCATATTGTATATATTACTTGCAGTCTTAATATATCATCAATCATCAATCAATGTTTCATAGTAATTAGAAATACAATAGCAATTATACTAAATAAAATATTGCAATTGTATTTCAAAAAAAGTTGCCTTCATCTTTGATCCCATGCACCTACTTATTGCAACCACCACCATTATCATTATTTTATCTGTAATCTTATAATATCTTTGGTAAATAGTAGCTAATAACCTGGAGAGTCAAACTTTGCCTCAGTTGGAGTTCTGACTATCTCTGCACCAAGAGCTCTGAGAACATCAACCTAATAAATGCCATAAAAAGAACACCAAAAAGATAAATGTTTTGGCAGAACATTTTTTAACAAGTCAAGCCTGATTTATGACTGAAACAGGAGCAATTACTATTGATCAAGGAAGATATTGACTCTAATCTAATGGGTCAGCAGTTACCTTTTCTTTACTCATCTTTTCAGGCATGACAATGATGCATCGGTAACCCTTGACTGCAGCAGCAAGAGCTAGTCCAATTCCTGGAATAGGTATACCAATCACAGATGTTAAACAATCATTAAATCTATTAAGTGACAATATTATCATCTCAGTGAAATATTATAAAACATCTCTATGAATGTAAATAATGACTAATAAATCTATGTTGATTTTTGCAGATGACTTGCCAGGGATTCACAGATTAAGTGCGTCGCTTCTGTTGTTTAATCATTACTATTTACTTGTTTATTAGCATTAATCGTTTCACAGATTTAGTGCATTTACTCTTSTAATAGTTCAGAGGTGAAGAACACACCTCTGCACAAACCCCCAATCACAGCACCGTCATGCAATCCAGTTTATAGGCATCTCGGCCCATTTCGGAAATATAGAACTATGGATTCCAATTTTCATGCGGAAAAAATATTGTGCATCCATCACAACCTACCAGTATTTCCTGAAGTTGGTTCAATCAAAGTATCTCCAGGTTTCAGTTTGCCATCTTTCTCAGCTTCTTCGATCATCCTTAGACCAATACGATCTTTAACCGAACCTCCAGCATTAAAGAACTCGCATTTAGCCACTGGTAATATGATGATAAAAGATTAGTAAAATTCATTTTATCGAGACCAGAATCTAGTGGGACTTAAACTTACGCAATTCGCATTTCAAGCCACAACTTTTTCCAACATTGTTTATTCGCACTAACGGAGTATCTCCAATCTTTTGCAAGATATTTGGCATAATCTTTGTAGATGGCTCTCTAAAATGATAAAACACAAGTTTATCCATCGGCCTGGCAATTACAGAAACTTTCCGTTCTAACCTGATATTTATGTGAGCGTGAGGAGAATCAGACAGTTTTGCTCCCAAATGCCAGGTACATTTAGAAACCAAGTCGGGTCGAATCCATTTCCGTTCTTTTCCTTTTAAGTTAAGGTTATTTGGACACTGTGCGACTTCGGTGGACATGTTTTACGTTGTTTTTTTGTTCGACGTACTTTGTCGCTCAGCCACAATCAACAACMGCTCGTGTAAAAAGATCGAACCCACGTAGAACTACAACACAAATATGGAAGTCATTACATATGCAAATATATGCAAAATGATGTAATACGACAACCAAATATGTACGTACTTCGTACTAGTTGTTTACTACATTGAGGAAAATTTGAAGCGAGAATCAATTTTCACTTAAAGAAATATTTCATACTGCTGAAAAACCTTGCACATTGTTGACACGAATCATCTTGCAATTCAGGCAGTGGCACTAAAATTCATCGTGTGTAAGACACATTTGACACAGGATCTGGTTCAGTGGCTGGTTTCAAGGTAGACCTTTTACTGGSGGGTGCACCAGCAGAGTGCCTGGATTTCGTTCAGGCACCAGCACCTAGTTCAAAAAGTGCCTTGGACAAAAATCAGAGTACCAAAAGATTGATACCATATATAACAGAGACTACAATAGCTCTCTACTGACTAAATGCCAAGGAAAATCACTAGATAAGAAAAACATCAGCCTATTTGTGTGATGGGAACATGTACTGAATGAAATATATACACAAGATGCGATGAAGTATATTTGCAAACTCWCAACTACAAATGTGTACACAACACATATATAATTTATATTACTAATTGGCCAATAATCATACTGTAATAAGACCTTTTATTTATGATTGTTTGTTTATAAGCAACAAGAGAATTATCCTTTCAACACTTCTATAGATTAAATATATACAAACTAGATAGCAAGCATATTTTTTGATTCATGCTTTCTAAGAGTGTAATACTAAGTCTTTATATACATTGTTGGTGATTTGTTAGAACATTTTATTGCCACTGTCTTGCAGCTGTGATACAGAATTTCATTCAGTTTGGMACAGCTTCCCACAGTTCTTGTAAAGTAAAACCATCTTTAAGCTTCTCAATAGCCAAACCAAGTTGCTCAGAATAAATGGGCTCACGGTCACTTGTCTTGTCGCCATCAGCAAAATATGCAGCAAAAGCATCAGTGGTTCCTTCATTTACAATTTCAATATCATCTTGTACAGGATCAACTGTCACYTCCTCTAAGGCTTGGGGTTTGTCTTCAGTTTCAAACTCGACTCCAAAGATAGGGCTTGCGCTGTACACCTTCTGTAGACTTTGGATTTCCTTAACAGCTTCTTGTAGTTTCTCTACTGGATCAATGCGAAAACCAAGTACATACCCTCCACTCTGTTGAGATGTTTCAACCACCAATGCTAAACCAAACTTAGAATCACGGATTCTAACAGTTTTCATTTGTAAGTAAGGGATACTAACATTGAAGGAATCATTCATGTTAGCATGCCATACCAAACGTACATTGGTGATGTAAAAAGTACCCAGGTTCCCCTGATCGCTTGAAAGATTCCAGACRCCATTGATCTTATCATATACTTGCTCTAGTGGAAGTATTCTCAGCTGCTTATTCTGTATCAGTGCTCCTCTGAGCTTTAAGTCTCTGTAAAGTTTTGATGATTCATAAGCCCTGTACACCGAAATTACAGTTGTAAACAATCTAGGACTGCCTGATACTAGATTTGTAAAGATGAATTCAAATCTAGTATTGTTACATCTTGTCAAAAGATAAAGCGCTTCAGTTTGTCCTCTTAGTTTAGAGTGAGCCGTCCTTGTGGATATATTGACAACAGCACCATAGCCAACAGAAAGATTGACCCTGGGCATACTTTGTGAATGCCATATCAGTCGAAGATTAGTGACCATAAGTCGCCCTCTGTCACCATTATTACCCTTTGTATCTTCTACAGAATCAAGTTTATCAATTAGAATTTCACCAGAGCGGAGTTGCATTTGCTGTAAGGTTATATCAAAGCGAACGTCTCGATCYTCCCATAGATTACAATCCGCCATATTGTTTTGATGGCTTCAGATAACTGATGTATTAGAAACTGCACAAAACTTTTAAAGCGAAACGACTACRAAAAACCTCTTTCGAATCCCTTATTTTCGTTATGGAAACAGAAAATTGTGCTCCAAAAGAGATTAAAACGATAAAATGACGGGAAAACTTTCACTTCTTCTCTTTGCCTTCTCCTTGACAACCGACCGGGCGGGATAAAACAAATCGCTTTTATGTYCACACAGGCAACCCAACCCATTTATCTATCCCATCATTTTCCCACTACGTTCACTTTTTCAGACACAGCTTGACTCATTATAATGAAAATAYATCTTTTCTACAATCAAAATGATATTATTGATCCCTATAAAAGTTTTTATCATCAATACTAGTAACTCACGACTTGACCACGTGAGAAATTGAACACAGGAACCCCGAAGGTACTTGCAGAGAATCGACATTAAACCCTGGCCGCCAGACCTTCAATTCCATCCAGTATATCTGCAGAATGATTTCAATAGGCTCCGCAGGAGGATACGAACAATTGAAATTCAAAGAACTTGAAGACGGTAAATTCACTGAAGGAGCAAATATTCGGTTRACAGATATCCCTGAGGAAGACCTTGTAATCGTAAAGACATTTGCTAGTGGAGTRAATTATGCTGATGTTTGCATTCGTTGGGGTCTCTATGACTCAGCTAAACAATACRTTGGCTGGCCTATCACTCCTGGGTTTGAATTCAGCGGCCAAATAGTCGCCAAAGGATCCAACGTTCAGGAATTTGAGGTTGGACAAAATGTCTTTGGTGTTTCATTATTTGGAGGATATTCTGAGATGATAAGAGTACCATACAGGCAGCTTTTTCCATTAMCAGATAAACTGAATAAGTATGAAGCAGCTGGTTTTCCTGCAGTATCCTTGACGGCATGGTATGCAATGTTTGAGCTCGTGAGACCACGCCCAGGGTCCTGTTTGCTAGTTCACTCTGCCGCTGGGGGTGTGGGTAGTACCTTGGTGCAGTTAGCAAAGATTGCTGGTTGTACAGTTGTAGGGGTTGTTGGTGCCTCACATAAAAAAGAACTAGTCCAGCAACTTGGTAAGAAAGTATGAATGACTCAAGGTTTCACACTGAAACAAGAGTGGGTCCCAATAACACACCAAAAGAGTAGTATTGAGATGGTATTATTTGATCAAATACCTGTGATAATATGTTGGCTAAAGGACAAAGAAGCAACCTAGCATGTATTGCTTTGTTCCAGGGGGGGGGGGGTACTTGACCTCGGCCCCCTGGGGTCTTATTTGGTATGCTTACTGTACTTTGTACAAAGAAAGAAGATCTAATCAATTGAGAAATATTTATTTGAATGCAAAACTATATTTGTATCATCAGGATGTGACCATGTGATTGACAAGTCAAAAGAAAGTCTCTGGCAAARAGCAGAAGAAATTTCACCCAAAGGCTTTGATGCTGTATTTGATGCTAATGGAGTAGCAACATTGATGGATAGCTATAACCATCTTGCTCCAGGAGGAAAGCTTGTAGTTTATGGTAAGAAATAAATCATGATAAAACAAAAGCAAAATTGTGGATTTTTTCATTGTCATATTATGATGATAGCATTTCTTTGCAGCTCAGGGATAATAATTATTGCACAATGATTTCAGCACTAATTTTTTGTTACAAGGTTTCCATACAATGTTGCCACGTTCAGACTCTAGTGGCTCAGGTAGTCTTGGAATGTTTCATTGGCTCAAGATAGGATGGAACTGGCTCTGGACTCCGAGATTCAATCCACTTGAGGTAAATGTACATAACACAGGGAATAAGACCTTTAGTTACATTAATAGTGAAAAATATCTGAGAAAATAGGCAGCAAATTAGAAATCTAGTATTTTCTCTCTAATGTTGATTGTCCTTTATTACACAGATGACAAATGAAAACAAGAGTGTTTTGGCTTTTAACCTTAGCTTCATGTTTGACAGAATGGATATCTTTAAAGAGGCTATGACACAGTTGATTGGATGGGTTGACAAGGGTGTCCTAAGGGTGGGTAGGGTCAGTACTTATCCGTTACAGGGGGTAGGACAAGCTCATCGAGACCTTGAGTCAGGCCAAACGGTTGGGAAACTTGTTCTGACTATGGATAAAGAGAAGTGACTTATAGATCACAGATGGGATACAGAAATCAAATCATAAACATACATTATTTCAAATAATAGAAAAAAGGTTTTTTTAAATATATGGACATAGTTGGTTTTACCCCCAAAAAGCATAAAATGTAACTTTAAKAATCAATAGCGGACTTTAGATATTTTGGTTCATTGACCATGTACAAAAGAATTGCAACGAGGCTCAACGGAAATAAAAGAATAAATCAAGATTGACCATTGTTTTCCCTGAGCCTCGTGTACGTTCTTTTGTACATAGTCATTGAACCAAAATATCTAAAGTTAACTATTTGTTTGTCAGTTTATCAACATAGAAAGACTACATGCAAATGCCTATAGACTTTAAATGTCACAAGGGCTGAGCATTGCAGAAATAGTCTATTTGAATTATAAATTAACTTACTAGCCAGATCCTTTGGAGTAATTGTACACACAATCATATACACTCATTAACAAAAGATGACCTTTATTTGCAATAAATACAATTTCCATGGTGCTGTGACCATGGTTGCAAAACTGCTAATAAATATAGAGTTGTRACAGATGAAATTCATTGGAAATAAAATTAAAAAGGGCTACAATGTACTAGTTTGTTTTCTGTTTTCTATTGAAAAATAATTGTTTGTAACAATAATGCAGTTAAGAAATAACAGGAATATGTAGCACTAGTAGTTGCTTAGATGTCAAGTTGATATTGATTTAGTTTCAAAAATGTTCTTGCATGCAATCAATTATCAGTAAATTTTCAAATAATTGACATGGCAGTGAGGGGAACCTCTTTCAATGAACAAATAAGATTATTCTTAAAAGGAGATCATAGTGAACAATAGGCGATACAATCTTATGGATGATAGTTAAAGTATAACAGTCACCTAGGATGTTTGATAATAAAACACCATAATTATAGACACCTTTTACATTTAAGAATGTCAAATAATACTCTTTTTTCTTGTAATATTATATTATAAATTATTACAAAATGAAAAATAGATATTTTTACAATGATATCAGATTTCATTCCCCAAATTAAAGATTCACACAGTAATCAATCATTTAAAACTGTACAAAGTTCAAAACTACACTCCACTATTTGGGTTATAATGATGAGCTGGTATCTACGCGCTCATAGAATAAAATATAGGCTTGTGATCCACCTATACGTGATATTGGGATTCCATCAACACTGCAATCAACAAAAACAGTTGACTAAGATTCAAGGACAATCATTTTATTTCACATAAAACTACCACGACCTTGTGTATTTTTTGTGATCAATTATAACCATAAAAGTCATGTAAAGAAAATAATAACCAGCAAAAGTAATTCAAAATACATATTAAAGAGAATGCAGGCCAATAAAAGCATACCTAGAATCATTAAAACAGTGCCATTCACGGCTGATAGGATGTCGACAGTGTGCAGTGTAATGGCCACCATAAGTTGTTCCTGAATGATTGGACACTGCATATAAACCATACACTGCCGATGTATAGTCTACAAGACAGAAACGAACATAACATGTAAAATAATATATCAATAAATACTTGACTACTAGAAAAGACATACCTGTACCATCTGATGCATAATGTTTAAGATTCAGTCTAGAATCAGTTGGGAATTCTACTGCAGTCTGAAGCTTGGAACGAAAACCAAATCCAGAAAAGCGTTTAAGATCTTGGTAGTAGTTAAGGCTTGTTCTAATATTAATATTTGTCAATGTAGTTCACAGCTGTACATGCACGTATGTATAAAACAGTGGAACAAACAACATGACTTGACATAAAAAAGATACGAAGTACTAAAATTTTAGGAAATCTTTGAATTGTGAATTGCTTGGTTGATTTTCTTTTCTTTTTACACTTCTCGCAGGTCTAGTAAAAATAATGAATATGTTAATAATTTAATTAAAGATCAGTTTTTACTTAATCTTTGTATACTGCATTATATATTAATTGTTATCCTACCGGTCTTTCATCTCCATCTAAAACTTCTTCTTTTGTAAACAGATCCATACAGTCTTGTATAGTAACATTCGATCTGCTATCATAGCTACTTGAGTACAATGAACTAGACTTCTGAAACCAGGGTGAAAAAATATACCTATTATTAGCTTGGTTATTGCATAACATTTTGGAAAAAGAAATATATATTAATAGAATTTAAGTCATTACCCTTGGAATTGGCAAAGAAAGATCCCAGAATGGATCAAATGCTACAGACTTGAAACCACATTCTGTACATTTCAAGGTGCTCTTCAGTTGCCCAACAAAGACRTCTAAAACAGACATAAGCAAAATGATAAATAAAAGAATGAATAACTTTYATTAGTAACTAAGCTTTTACTCAGTATAATGCTTGCTTTCTTTATTTTTCTCTTCTGAGAGACAATCTAAAATGCAAGGACCAAATTGTAATACCTGTTATAAAGCTATTGTCTCTTGCAATGTAATGTTTCCATGATTTTTCTGCCTTTTCACTATCCCTGTCAAGACAATGGATACTGGTATTAGTGATGGTATGCACAGTTAACTKTGAGCTATAGCAATATCAAAACACTGATGGTTATACAACACATGGTTCCCATTATAAGATTACCTCAGTGATTCATTGAACTCACAGACTTTGTATTTAGGYTTGTCACGAACTTGATTTAAATCATCATGCAGACCCTCTAATAGAAACCGCAAGAATTCTTGAGCATCTTGTTGACTAGGAACAAATAGGTCATTGTCACATAAGACATTTTTCATTTTATAGAGCATATTACCAAGATAATTACTGTCAGGGTTATTATGAGATGTCCAGAAGGTAATACTACATTTTACATAGAACTGGGGGCTTCAATAAATTATTTTTATTTTAATTATCCTGGATTTAAGCATCCACTGAGGCATATTCGTTTTGGTAGAATGTCCAATCATTAAGTACTAAAATTTGAATTAAAATTCAAATGAAATATTGCTGATAGATTAAACTAGAGATGATTGAGCTGAAAATATTTTTGTCAGCTTACTTGTATCCAACAAATCTTGGTGCAAACTTTTGTATCTGTGTTTTGAAGGAATGGGGAGATATTGCTGTATCTGAGATTCCTGGTTTCCACATTGACTTGATAAGATCAGCATAAGCTGAAAAATGTAAACAAATTGAAATGATATGTTACAAAATTATGTCTATCTAAATTAAAATAATTCAATTTAAAGCACTTTTTGCAATTGACATCTTTGGCAGACAATATTACTTAATAGATAATTTATCCATCTTACAGCACATTACCTTGTATTAGCTTCCCTTTCATACTGCTTTTGCTGTTGATTTGTTTGGAGTAAGAACCCTTTAACAGGTAATCAGTCAACACCACAGAATGACTTAGACATTGTAGAACAGAATTCATGAAACACTAAAAAGAAATGAGAGTTATTAGTATACCTTTTAAAGAAGTAAGCTGCTTTTATGAAATGAAAYGTCATCAAGTTATACAAATACATAAACACATGAGCTAATTCAATTTTGGGGGTTTTATATCTCACTGTGAAATTATATTGAGAACATATCTTTCTCATAGACAAAAGCACAAAATTTGTTGTTGAGTATATACWTACTGTGTTTCCAAGATTTCTAAGTCCAACCAAACCATCTCTGTATCCCCGTCCACTAGGCTGCAACAATAAAAGCATTTAGACTATGTTTGAATGCTATTTTACAACTAACTATACACCCTTAATAGAAAAGTTGATGGCTTGATGGAGGTATATTGTGGTTTATGCAGAACTGGTAGGACTTGTTCATGAAGGTTTATGTGGGAATGAAAATATAAAATAATTCATTGAAAAGAATATTTTCAATATCAATAATTATGTATTTTAACATAAACTCATTATTATATTCAAAACATATATAAAACAGACAAATATAATATGATAAAAGTCAGTGAAATTGAACTTTTTGCAAGGGAAGCTCTGCTACTAACTCACATAGAAGACAGACACAGCTCCATGATAGGCATTATAAAGTAAGCTAGTAACATATCTTGTTGAGATAAACGGAAAAACAGAGTCAATATCTTTGCACATATGASTTGAGAGAACCATTCCTTAGAAATAAACACACTCTTGAAACCCAAAAATATACAAATTAATGTCCAGGCTCATTAATACTTAGTAGCAGGATTAAGATAATTATGCARAATGGTTCCCATAGAAACAGTGTTGGCACCTGTCATCAGAGAACAGGTATAATTAGTTGTGTGGGGAAGGAGCATAAACATAAAACTAACACAGATTAAAATCAGTAAGGCCTTTTAATGTGGAAACATTTTGCCATCATAATAATAGCTGCAATTGGAGCTCCAGATACTCTTGGTGTATGGTTTATATAATTATAAGCTACATTAATACATTACAATGTACAGACTACTCTCAATGAAAAATAAAAACCTTTAGAAGAATGTCAATAAAACAATTTACCTCAATGAAAAGAAACCTTAAAAATTTAACAATCTTGTGCATCTGTCACATACCACAAAGACAAACATTTTGACTGTGCATGGGTTCAGAATTATTGTTTAGTAAGGTTACTTGGGTTTTTATTGATGATATGATGTACRAATACATTGGACGAGATTTGTAAATAATGGAATTAGGTAGATGATGATTTCTTGTGATCTTTGTTGATGTCTTTTGAGTATTATGCAAATTATGAGCAGGAGACCTCAATAATATGAGGATCATCTAAAACTATGAGCCACACGCAGGCTGGTTAAAACCTTATGATAAATTGTTTGAAAGAAATATTATTACTACTAACTATGAATTACAACTTAACAAAGCCCAACACTAATTCAAAACAGACACTTTGCAAAWATTTTACAAACTAAAGATAAAAATTCATGTTTCAAAGAGCATCTAAGATAGACCCTATTAATTAATAAAAGCACAGCGCAGCCTTTCAAAATGAATTAAAAGTTACTGTACTATTATTAAGTTGTAGTAAAAAATACCAGGACAAACTAACATACAGCCTTTTGCACAAATTATGAGACATTTTTATATATATAAATATACCTAACCAAMTATSAAAAWMACCCMAGAAATTATGGGATACCGTCGCTGATATTTTGTCTGTAACAACCTGATGCTAGGCAATCATGACAAAATATCAGCGACGGTATCCCATAATTTCTTGGGTGTTTTTGATATTTGGTTAGGTATATTTATATATATAAAAATGTCTCATAATTTGTGCAAAAGGCTGTATATTTATATATATATAAAAATGTCTCATAATTTGTGCAAAAGGCTGTAATCTTAACAATTTAAAAACTTGTTAATATTTACAGATTTGTATTTTCAAAACTTGAATTTAACTTGAGGTTGGTTGGGATTGTTTCCCAGAGTTACATTTCTGAACATTATTGTTGCAAATCAATACTTAATAATATTATTACTATATGGTTACATCTTTGCAACAAACATAAACCTTGAGTATATAATAATTAAGTTTCATTACACCTTATCAATATATGATGACTAAAATGTTACAGTACCAATAAATACAATCACTAAAATGATTGATGAATATGTGCAGAACAATTAACGAGGTAAATGGRTACTCATCTCAACTGTAGGATATCCTATTTTAGAATCCAGAAAACTGTTACAAATCCAGCATTCTGATTGGCTACTCAACTATGGTATATTCATGATATACCATTATGATAACATTGAGTGAAGCAAAAATAGTCCAAAAAATGTAGAGAAAAATTATAAGTTTATGTCATTAAATGCCCTATAGTTTGTGTCCCTGATGAGTACGGCTATCAACTGCTATAAACTCGTAGTCTCATGGTCTGATTGTTAAATATCCTGTGACTAAAAGTTCATTGGTTGTGTATAATGAAAAAATAATTCCATTCAATCCTTGTGCATACATGTATGTGGGCAACTGCAAAACTGGCAAAGACTTGCAAGCTACAAGTGTTAGATCACAGAGCAGATTTTGACATTCATYAGAATTTTGTCTGGAATTTTGTCAGAACAGTTAGGGAATGTCATACAAACTCTGCTCCATCAGAACCTGTTTAGTGAAATAATTGCAGTAAATATAAATCAAATTGTTTATTTCACAACTTTATGAAAACTAAATGAATTGTACTTATTAAGTTTTTCCTGTATAAGTAAGTATAAAATACAGTTTGTTGCATAACTGGTAAATAATTTCTTCATGAAAGTAAGTTAAAAATGAAAAGATAAAATGGAAGACGAAATGGAATCTTTGCATTAACAGTAAATGTGTCACTATTGTTTTCAAACAAGCCCCTCTTATCAAAATTGTACAGCATGTAATAATAACTCAAATAAACTAAAATTAACTTGACTAACAGCTGCAAATGCATTTAAAATCACTACACTTACCGTAGATGGGGAGGAAGAACTTGTGGAACCTTTGGAGCTCCGTCGAAGCGACTCCGTATCAGCTGTTAGTATTTCTTTACGGTTGTCACAGCTATAATCTGTCATTTTTCCTTTCTTAGAATATGAACTACTATTCGAGCTTGGATAATTACTTGAATATCGGTTTGTCAAGGAATGCTGCCGTGAATCTTCTGCTTGAGAGCTGTGACGAGTGCTGGTAGACGTCAAATAATAATTTGCGTTTTCATCTAACTGTGTAACATTTTCCAATGTTTTTGTCTTTGATGAAATTCCTGGAGAGTAATCACTCCTTGAGTTGTAACTTAGAATAGTAGTTCTATTAGGAAAAGAATGACTGTTTTCTGGAGGTTCATTGTTTAAAGAAAGATCTCTCATTGCCCCCAAATTTGACAGAGATTTGGACCGTCGACCAGCCAATGTTGACTTTCCATTGGTAATGTTGCTATACCTAACACTGGACGAACTGCCATATCCAGAATCATTGGATACCTTTCTTTCGGCTTGTGAAGTTTTCTGTTGTGTATAAAAAGAAGAAGGATAACTCGTGCTACGTCTTTCGTCGACGGTTTTAGATTTTGATGAGGGTGAAAYATAACGTAAATTTTCTCCTGTAGTTTTGCGAAGGTTATATCGATCTGGTAATGGTCCTGGACCATCTGGAAGCTGCCTTCTTATAGTCCGACGACTTTGGGATGCATATGAAGAGGCATACGTTGTTGGCTTGACGGTTCTTGGTGCTACAGAACTGTTTGCTAAACCCATACCACTGTAGGTTCTTGTACTTGTTCCATTTGACGTTGTTCTGTGTTCATATGGAGGCAGATTTGATCTCGATGGAACGCCATACATAGTCAGACTCATTGAAAAAATACTGAACTATGTATTGARGTCATTGTATTATTTTATAGCCCAGAATTTGGCGTAGTAAACGTTGACAAGCTACAGACTGTCTCCAGTCGATGTCTTCGTCCTGTCCGCCATAACTGTTCCAATCACGTGACCCTTTGTTGATGTCATGGAAACGAGACAACACTCTGTACATCAACGATAGGGACTGGGCCTAAGACCACTCTTTCACTTTATTCATTTCTCAGAGTTCTATATTTTATTTCCTTTATAATTTTCATTGATTATAAAATAAACTATGTTCATCAGGTTACAACATTTTATATTCGAAAAACTGTAAATACATTTTTTAAAACAACTGGTTCATTTTAGTCCTTGGAACATAAAAATGCGAAGAAGTTATAAAATACGATCTACTCATCAGAAAAAGCCACGCAACCTAATTAAAACAACAGCTTTTCAAACTTTATATTTGACAAAAAAACTACTGTAAACAAACAGTTGTACTAATATTTCCATTCCTATTTCTTTTTTTAGTATTATTGTACACATCTACCCTTTTTAATTTATTTCAAGTTTATTTTTCATCTTCTCTTAAAGCATTTTATTTTGTTCATCTTCATCGTTAAACTAAGCACTGATTCAGGCCTGTAACGTAACTAGTTCCTATTTTCGACCCTTCCGGGGGATACTATCTTCCCTTCATGACGAAATATACGATAAAGGGGAACCCCCTTAGTTCTTCTATACTCTCACCTGATTGGCTAAAATTCAAAGTTTCTTAAAATAGCACATACGTTCACGACTTTCTTTATGCTAATCATTTCATGTCGGAACAAACGGGGAGATATATTTCGATGAAGATAGACTATAATTTAAAGTATATTTAAAGATCCTACTAGAATCGGGGTATATAATGGTAGCATCAAGCAGTCAGGAAAACTCGATTCTCCTCGAATCAAGAAACGGAGAATATTCCACATTGAATCAAGAAGAATTCAAATCTCTCACTAGTTCCGCAATAGACATTGAAAAAACGAAGTCCTCGACTGCTCCGAAGCAACAATCCGCAAAAGAGAGTATAAGAAGAAAACTCACAGCTCGTGTGAGCCCAATGACAAGGGACAATGGCGATAATTTTGAGAAAGAGCTAAAAGAAGACACAATCAAGAAAATCAAGTCATCGAAAAATAAACTGGAGTCTTGGAAGCCAAATACGATAACAACCGATGGACGACCAATTACAACTCCTTCTATTACGATTAAAAAAGAATATGTAGAAGCTTCGCCATGTCAGAGAAACAGGAGTCACCTCAGTAATAGCAAACATAAGAGTTGTGATGTTAAAGTGGAAGATGATCATCAACCTCAACAAAAATTTCGAAAATTACTTCCAGCTCTTTCTACTTCGAACAGCACTTTTACAGCAGCAAGTGAGTGACTCATTCTGTTTTTAAAACTAAACTGTAGTTATATTACTAATAAATAGACAATCCTAGCGTTCTATATTCCATATGTTGTGAACAGTATCTAGGGCGGAAGTTGATCAACATGGAATTAAAGTCCAAAATCAGTATTATAAAGAATTTTTACTTTCGAATACAGTCTCGATCTCGTTCGGGTCGTGCACTCTTTGTTTCTAAAGTTTCCATATTAATTTGGAAATATTACAGTATTTTTTAATACATCACKCCTTTCAAAAACCTAACAGAAGAAATATTTAGGGGAACCCCCTAATTATAGTTAATCGCGTGACTATCAAAATCACACAGGAAGCCCAATTTGAACAAATCATTTTTTCCCTGCTTTTCCCCAGGTAACCCGCCCTTTCTTCCACCACTATTTGCTTCAGATCAAAAATCATTTGGAGCAAATATGCCAATGATGAGCCTTCTAACAGCTTCACAGGGTCATCTTGCCACTCTTCAAGATGAGGATGGTGATACGTAAGTTTGTTATTACAATTAATGTATAGAATCTGTGTATGGCTCATATCTTTAATGAAATTTGATTTTACCAGGCCACTGCACATTGCAATTGCCCAGTGTCAAGTACCTTTAGTTCAGTACCTCAYTCAAATGACACTAGCATCTGGCATATCATTAGATATTTACAACAAACTCAAACAGGTAAATCTTATGAAAGAAATGAATAAACAAAATGAATGACAGAAACMTCTACTAAGTGGGATTCCTGTGTTAAGGCAATGTTGTTATCAATAGAATACCAATACCAAATACCCCTTCCTAAGCACTTTCCATTTGAGTAGCTGAGCAGGCTAAGGAGATCGGTCACCAAATTGCAACAAATAATTTATTGACTCCGTTTTTGCTTTGTTTCAAGACTCCATTGCACCTGGCAGTAATAACCAACCAGCCATCAATCATTAGGATCCTTATCAGTGCTGGTGTTGATGCTAATATTCCTGACAGGAATGGACAGACTGCTGTACATCTTGCTTGTCAGAGATCAAGTATAGAGTGTTTAATGGAACTTATCAACTGCAGGCATCCCATTAACTTTGTAGCAAAAAACTATAATGGACTTACTCCTCTACATGAGGCAGTTATGTCAAACAGTCAAGAAATCATTCATTTTCTTGTTGCATGTGGAGCTGATATTGACAGTAAGGTACTGAGATTTGAAGAATTCAAAMTATGAAAATTATCAATATGTATTCACTATCTATATGACAACTAACCTTCGTGCTACTATATTATCACTATTTCAACATGAGAATCTCTGAATTTTGCTAATTCCTTGCTTGATTTTAAGGATGGCAAAAGTGGTCGCACACCCCTACACTATGCTGTAGAGATAGAGCATATGGCCATAATTCAACTTCTGATAAATTCAGGTGCAAACGTGAATGCTGCATCATTTGCAGGAAGTACGCCAATTCAAGCAGCAAGTGGGCGTGGCATGCATGAGGTCACACGACTTCTATTAGGTAGCATTAATGAAGCAGCATGTAGAAATACCAGCAGTACCAGTACGTCCAATCATAAGGTACATGCATATCATAGCTTAAATAATCTCACAATGGATTCCGCCAAGCTTATCCATAAAACAGCATTATTCGTTTAAAAGCTATTGTAATATGTAAATACTAACAAACAGTATTTTTTACCTTCACAGATAAAAGGAAKTATCAAGAAAATGACATGATGATATGAGATATGTCAATTTTCTGACATGTTCACATATTGCTAGATATATGAATGATGTGCCATACAAAGCAAATATTTAAACACACACCATGGCAGTGCATGGCAGAAGCAGCTTAACAGTATATACAGGAATTAGACTGAAATGATAACTATAGTTTAGTGAATTAGTGTTTAATGTAGAGAACCTAATATATTAAGTTAAAATAAAAAGACATGAAAGTTAACTTTTGCATAGTATCCATGCTTCAATCAGTTTTCCTTTATAAGGAAGAGGAATAAACCTCCAATCAAGAATCACTTGTTATAATCTATCAATGAGACAAAAAGATTCAGTTCAACTMAAAAACGTTGTATCAAGCCTCTAAACTCATACTTAAAAACAATGCCACCAAATTTTAAAGAACACAATCATACAATAATTATTTACTGTACATAATTTCTATTACAGTCCTTTCTGCTCACTCTGTCTGCATGAGAGCATGCACTTCTTTCATCACTGCACATATGCAACCAATTCTAAGAAATAAAAAATGCCTGCACATGTCTCTGTCTTCTGATGTGAATACAGATTGTTTTAGTTGCTTCTTGAGTCTTGTATAATTAGCAAAGGGCAGGACACAAGCAGCCATTTTATATTTTTTTTAACACCCAACGTTCAAGGTGAAGGTSATAAAAGTTTGTTATAAGCCAGTAGTACTGTCTGCAAAATATTGTAAATCTAATCTTTAATACTTAGATGATATAAATAAACATTGATATTTACTGGAATTTCTAWAATTTTTATTATATTATATATCTTAATTATATTTGGATAGAGCTGCCATAGTCTCTCTCTAGAGTTTGCTGTTTGTATAGCAGATTGTGACAGAAATTTTCTACAAAATGTCTGAAGCTGACAGAAACCACATAAAATTGTCAAGTTAAGCATAGTTTTATACCCTTTATCAAACTATGATTTAATGGTCAAAATAATTGATCCTCTCGTTGCATCAAGTTTCTTCATTGCAAGCCATCTGCATTTATAAAGAAACTATCATAAAATCTGTCACAAAGCAGAAATAAAGCAAAGAAGATCATAATTTGTGTAAAACACACAGAGATATATATCCCACCAAAATTGTAATCTATCTGTCTTTGTCATAGAACAGAACAAATGTCTTACAAGTACAAATTGCAAATGATTCAATTAGCCATTTGGTAATCAACTGACAAAGGCAATGAAAAAATCTATTCTCGAAGACCTACCTTATCAATTTCATTTGTCAATCTACAAGTCATTTAAGACATTTGCTCTTTCTATTTAAGAATAATTTATTACTTAATCTACAAATAATATCAAAATGATGCTACTTGATATTCAGGTAGGAGTCTCTCTGTGTGTGRATTTAACCTCATCCTCCTCCACCACCACCACCTAAGAATACACAAGATAATAATGACATTTTCATATAAGCAACTTCTCCACTTCTTCTTGCATTTGAATAATCATTGGGTTTCATGTCAGTTATCACTTACTTTTAGTAAACTCATTTATCTTTTATACACAAACAAAAGAAAAGCAAATTCCAGCCTTAAATTCATATGGTCCTATTATTATTTCAAAATTGAAGGTTGACTAATATTTATATTGTCATAGCTGTCTGCTGTTCCAACATAAACCTGTCACTAACCTCGTCTTGATGGTCGGTAGCATGATCCTCCACCACCACCTGATAGTGGATTATAATCTGAAATAAAATTAATTCAATAAATCACAATTATATCTTTGATTATTTATGATAATTAGCTTTTTTTCCAACTGGAAAATTAACTATAATGCAAATCATTGTACATCATGTGTATATTCCTTCACTGGTTCTATGTTTGAGTCTTGGAGTGAATATTGTAATTTACATGCACCTGAGAAAATACTGAGAATTATATCATTTATTATTTATACAAATTATATATACCATCATCTCGTAAAGGCTTCTTCTTTTTTGGCTTCAACATATTCTCTGCAAGGCTTGTATCATCCTAGAATGGAGAGTACACAATTAAATTAGTAATTGTTTATTTTGTACATATCAATACTTGCAACAAATTCATCTAATGGCAAAACAATGTAGTAGGTCAAGTTAGTTTAAAAAAAATTTACATTGTTTTCATGGCTTACAGTTTTCTTATACTTCTTTGAGCGATATCCTTTCCCTTCTTTATGCCTTTCCCAATCTTCTACCATTTCTTTCCTTCTCTCCTCTTCCATCTACAATGTAAAGAAGTCATATCAAACAGCTTAATTCTTCTTTCATCATTCTTCTGTAAGGATCACACTGCAATCTTAATTTTATTTAACCTAGCATTATACAAACATGCACCAGACGTAGGTTTTTTTTATACACTTAGCAAGTCATACTTTCTTTTTTTCTTCTTYATATTTAGCAGCCTTAGCATCGATTACTTCTTGCCATCTCCTTCTTGACTCATCCATCTTTACTTGGACCTCAGCTGCTTTAATTGGATCTAATTGGATCATAAGAAACTCAATCTCACCATTTATATCCAGTGAATAAAATCCATAAGCTATGGAGTGTATACAGCTTTATCCTCCCTAAATTGAGAATATTTACTAACTACAGTCTTGGACATAAATGTTGACAATCATTTATGCATACAGAACATTTCACAAACTATTTGCTGTTAAAATGTAGTGTTGCRTGGCTTTCTTTTCATACCCTTGACCCTTTGTTAACCTGTGCTTGCTTTATTGATGTGGG